TTGCCTACCAAGAGCTTCACAAAAGCGGCATATCTTGCATAACTTTAATGGCATCAGCTACTCAACCAACATTTATTATAATTCTAAAATCCTTCTAATAGATGTTAGACACGCATGAAAACAACTTAAATTCCATTATAATTAGGAGTGGCTCAGGATGAGCAGAGAGCTAGACTATATATCCAGACTAAACTAAGTTAAAAATTCCAAGGCTGAGTTAATAACTGTGTGACTGGACTGTACCCTGAGCATCTTTGAACTTCTTATCTCTAAGTTGTGGATGATAATGCCTATTTCTAGAAGGTGTTGTAAGAATTAAATGAGAAAATGCCTGATACCTGGCATATAACAGGCACGTGGTAAGGGAGACGAGAAGAGCAACTTCTTCCTCCCCTACCCAGAGCTTCTCCAGCTTTAATGTGCATCAGATTGCCTGAGAATCTTGTTAAAAATGTAGACTCTGGTTCAGTAGGCCTGGGGTGGGGCCTGAGACCTTGCGTTTCTAACACGTCCCCAAGTGATATCCATGCTATCTCTCAGAGAACTGCAGTTTCCACGGGAAGGGTTTAGAGATTATTTGGGGTCTGTTTTCATTTTTAAGGAGCTATTGCTGGAAGTAGGTCTTTAAAAAAAAAAAAATGAGTAGGTAGGTGCCCGCCAGGAAGATGACAGAGAATGGAAAGGCATTCAAGAGGGCTTGCTAGTAGCATAAAAAGCATGAGAGAGAGGGGGGCCTGGGATTTGATTTGAGGAGAGAACTTTGGCATGAGAAAGAGGATCAAGACATAGGGCCTTCTATGACTTGACAAGGAGTTATTTGCTCTGCAGGTAATGAGGGACTCATGGAAGGACTTTAAGATGGGAGTGATGTAATCAACCATAACATTCAGAAAGATTACCTGGAAACAGCTGAGGATGGGTTAGATGGGAGAGTGACTGGAGTCAGGAGGGTACTGTAGTATATATGGTGAGATGTGAACCCCTGAAGCAAGGGCAATATTAACTGAGAGGAAGCGGTGCCTATCAGCGACATCGGGATGTGGAAGTGACAGAACTCTAGCACTTATTAGGTCTGGAAAGAGGAAATTAAGTTGAAAGTTCCTGTCAGTTATCTGATTTGTATGACTGGGTAGATGATAATATCACTTTTTAAGTAGTTTATGGAAAAGAAAATGGGTTGAGTTTGGGGAATATGTTGAATTTAGAAAAGAAAGAAAGTGAAGTCGCTCAGTCATGTCTGACTCTTTGCGACCCCGTGGACTGTAGCCTACCAGGCTCCTCCATCCATGGGATTTTCCAGGCAAGGGTACTGGAGTGGGGTGCCTCTTCCTTCTCCATGGGATCTTCCAGACCCGGGGATTGAACCCAGGTGTCCCACGTTGTAGGCAGACGCTTTACTGTCTGAACCATCAGGGAAGTCCAAGCGACAAACAAATGGAAATACCTATTAACAAAGCTGGAGTCACAGGAGAGAGTAACCATTAGCATATATTATGGTAGATGGGTTAATGGAAATAGGTTCTGTCATTCAAGAACAATAGAGTGAAGCAAGAAAAGACGAGGACAAGACTCTCATGCAAAACACCGCGAGGGGTGAGCAGAGGAAAAGAGACCCTAAAAATTACTCAGAAGAAATGATAGAAACAGGGAGAATACAGTCAGAAAAGGTTAGGGATATGAGAGTTTCTAGAAGAAATTTATCAGCTGTGTCAAATGCAGTTAGAGGTCAAATACATGTGGACTGAAAGTTAGAATCAGTGATATTTGCCAGAGTCTTTTCAGTAGCTTAATATAGCAGAACGCCAGATTGCAGTGGGTTAAAAATGAACGGAAGATAAAGAAGCAGAGAGAGCAATACAGAATATTCTTTCCAGCAGCTTGGGCTATATTGAGAATATTTTAATAACTAGTAGCCAAAAGTTGTCCCAAGGTCGAGTACTTCTTTTGATTGATTATTCATTTATTGTTGTCTTGCCCACCCGTATGGCTGCTGAGACGCAGTGAGTAGAAGAAACATTTAAAAACAGAAGGTCAAGAGAATGACTAATAGAACAAAGCCCAGAAGAAGCGACACAAGTTCACGTGAGACTGATGGAAATAAGGTGGAGCTGAGCACATGCACAGATGGGTCCCTAGATGTAAGGAGGGATACTGCATGCTTGGTGGCCTCAGTTTATAATATGAAAGGCAGGATCACTGGCTGGTCTCTGAAGGTGCAGCCGCAGCTGGAGTCTTAACTGTGCCATGAGGCCTTTCCTCAAATTGGGGTGGTTTTCTTCAGCATACTTGACCCTTTGCTAGCGTTTTCTTTGACGCTGTCCGTGAACTTTATTGTTAATACTTCAAAAAAATAAAGAAGTGTATGTTTCTAAAGAAAGCATCTTCAGATATGCTGATCTTGGAAATTCCAAACAAGCTGGGCCTCTTCCCTCTGCACTCCATTCATCTGGTTTTCCAGCCGACAAGAGGAGATAGAGATAGAAAGATGAGTTGTGTGTGTCCATGTACATATGTTGCACTCTTCAGAGGTGATGACATACATGAGACCATCAAAGAAATCCTTCAAAGTTGCAGAATAAAAGATCCGAAAACTGCTACTTTTATTCCTACATAAATTTTACTTAGTACGTACTTTGAACTCTAATCCACCCAGCTTTACATGCCAAAATTCTTGTGTTCATTTTACCTAGATAAGTATGAGTCTTCATCTTCCTACTCCAGGTGTTGGCTGAACATCATTCAGCAATGAACTAACTTAAAATAGCAGCCTAATGGCCCTTGCTGACTATCAGGGCAACAGATCACTGGTTTCGGTTTTTGGCTTCAAGACATCACTACTGAATTCTGGAGGTCACCTACAGGTAGAAAGACAGATCAGCTGGCTCGAAAAATACTTGTTTTCCTGGACATGGGAGGAAATGGAAGATAGGGAGCAGAAATACAATTTAGGAAATAAAAGTTCTATTCTGAGTGACGTCAACTGGTAGAAAATATCACTTCAAATATTTTTGAATGAATGAAAAATGTCTGTAATTACCAAACTCACCTTGACCAATCAGCATACATTTTATTGGTTAATTCAATTATCCCCCTTGACAGTCTTATATTTCCCGGTTTATTTCCCAAAACACACCTTAAATACTAAAAATTGCAGTCCTTAAATATATACAGACATCCTATTCCTTAGGCATCTCGATAATTTTCCTGAACTATGCCCTGTAAAGCTGGAAGCTGATCAGTGACCTAAGAATGATGTGAAAGAGCCAGATGCTCTATTCAACAGCTTAGAAGGTGGTTGTGAAATATTTTTGCCTCCAGGTCAAACTGTGACTCTCCTGATTTCCTGCAGAATAGCAAAGCCCTGCATTTTGAAGCACACATATTCAGAAATATATCAGGAGGATGTCAAAAGGCCTAGACACCGTACTATACAAAGAATGTTTGAAAGAAAAAAGGTATTTAATCTGGAACTTGAGGAAACCTGAGAGCTTTCTACGTTAGTATGCTTTCATATACAAGTGAGAGACACCAATTCAAAATGGCTTAAGGAGAAAGCATTTGTGTTGGTTCAGGAGCTCAAACTATGACATGAGAACTTAGTCTTTCCTTTCCCTGTCTCTTGGTTCTGCCCTTCTCTATGTTGGCTTTCTTTTCAGCCGTGATTTCCCCCTTGCCTAGGCAGCACCACACTTCTCTCCTATACCCCCAACAATCTAGTGAAAAAGGAGAATCCAGCCTTCCACCCTTCCCAGCAAAGATTATTGACCCTAAGTGACCTGACTTTGATTGTAATATCCATCCTTCAGCCCTAGAGAAGACATGATTAAAATAAAGGTGGTTCTTTAAAGAAAGCTTTTATGCTATTCCTACAAAGAGGAAAAGCAAATGCCAGGTAGGCAAAAACAACATATTTCCTACGCCACCTTCAAGTACATAGTGGGTTTTCTTGTGAAGATGGGGATTAACTTCTCTGAGGTCAGAGTCCCAGAAATGAGAAATAGCCCACTTGCATGAACCTTATAGGAATACAGATTCCAGCTCACTCCCTAAAAGGACCTTTTAATAGTTAAAACTATTAGCATTTGAGATGGTCCACCTTAAGATGTGCCAAGTACCAGGTCCTTCCACATGTTCAGAATCAGGCCAGATGAGCAGCTGTCAGCGGAGCTTTGCAAGGAATTCCTGCATCAAGCAGACTTTCGCCTGCATGACCTATAGGGTCTCCGTTGCAGCTACAATTCTATTATCCTTGTTAATTTCCACAATTCAATTTGCAATAGAGGATAAACAAACCAACCTAATTTGATCTGGAACTTCTGCAGGCTATCACAGGTCATTTAATCCAAAACACATGGCTATAGCCATTACTATGTTTTCTGAAGTCATCTAACAGACGTGGTCCTTAACAAGGTTCCTATGTTATTAGTTTCACTTACAGTTTCCCCCCTACCCCCCAGCCTCTTGCTTATTACACAATTACCCTCATTCTCCTTTAGATTAGGGAGGAGAGGAGCATGAAAAAGTTTTCTTCTCTCTGCTTTTCTCCTCTTAAATCTTATAATAGGTGAGTTCCAATGAAAGTTTCATTGCTTATATTTTTACCCTTGAATTTAGCTTTTCCTTTGCAGGTCTATGGATCTGTGAGAAATGGGATTCATGGATAATCATAGCTCTAGACAGAATTTTTAAGGAAAATTCTCAAAGAAGGAAGAGATTTTTAAATTTGATATAAAAAATTAAATTGTAATTTTAACATGCTGCAATGTCATTAAAATGATGGTGCCAAACCCCTTCAGCCATGCTCAAGAAAAATTAAACACATTTGTGTTAAATAGTATTTGCCTCTTTCACAACTGAAAGCATCCCACCAGAGCATACACATACTCTGTTTTCCTTACACTGGAAATGACATGTTACACCATCCAACCCACAAATAAAATATTGTTTTTGCCAAGGTATGTCCCTCCTTAACTACTGATTATTTTTCTTGTCTTTTTCAGTGAACGTTGTGTCGATGCTACAGGAATTTTGGGAAAGCAAGCAGCAGCAGAAGGCTGCGTTCCCGAGTGAAGGTGTGGTGGTCTATGAGTCGCTGCCATCTCCTGGACCACCCTACGTGAGTTATGTGACCCTCCCAGGGGGAAGCTGTTTTGGAAATTTTCAGGTAAGAAACCATAAATCGACCAGTGAAAGCTGATTGAGGTAAAATAGCGTAAGCCTTTTTATAAAATGGTAACATCATAAGTTTTCTTGGTTGTAATAAAAAAAAGTTGTGCCATATTCTATTACATAAGAAAAAAATTGGTCAGAGGTTCTGGTTTTTAAATTGAGTACTTTTTAATTAGGAGGCTATCCCCTGATATTGCTTTGTGGAAAATGAATTTTATAAGATTTTATTTGCCTGAGAGCTGCTGCCTTTTCCCTCAAACATTTTGGAATAAACCTTAAAGAACAAAGGAACTTGGGCAAAGTCTTTCCATCAGGCCTTTCCATCAGTAGAAAGTCTTCATGTTCGTGAAATTTGTAATCAAATGGTAATCAATCTACTACACACCATAGCATGAACCTACAGCAAAGGTTGAGAGTCACAGGGCTGGGTTCAAGCACCTGTGCTAATCCCAAGTTCTGCTCTGAATACCTGTGGACCTTGGGGAAATGTTTATCTATTTCCCTGATTTTGAGATAGGGACTAATACCCATGGGGTTGGTTGGGAGTCAAATGAGATATACATGCAATGTGTTTATCTCATTATAGAAGTATTCCAAGTATTGTTCTGACCATTAGTATAAAGATTCTTCCAGTTTGCTAATTCTTTATTATGTTTATGAAAGGGGTATAAATGATGATGCATTTCTAGTTGTACCCCTAGATTGTTTGTACAAACAATCAGCATCTGATGATCCAGTGTGTGCAACAAATACTCATTGAGTAATTAGGAAATATCAAGCACTGGGCCAAGTAATGAGGATATGTGGTCCATACTTTGAGGAAAGAAATGTACAAAAAAAGTTATAGTAATTACATCACTATATTCAAGGGTCAATGAAGGCATAAAGGTAAGAACTTCTCAGTTTACCAGTCACCTTTGTAAATAGCCCTTTGGTGCAGTAAACTTTCTTAACTTTCAACGGCTGGCAAAAATGCCTCAATTATAGTTTATGGACAATGTGAAACTCAGAAGAACTCGACTTCCCCTCTTAGCTTTGACAACTAAAAAGACTAGAGGCAAGATTTCAGTATATCTCTTTGTAGTATAAACTATAAAATTTTGTATCATGTAATTTTTAGGACTAATCTCATACTTGATATTATTTATATTTCTACCTTTACTCTCCCTTTGAACTTGGTGTGCCTCATTCATTTTATTTCATCCTGTTACCATGTATCTGTTTTATATTACTTCAAATCCTTTGTAGAGTGAAGGGAAGATGTGGTTTAATAAATAGACCCACAACCCTATGTCTGCCTAGGGAAAGTCAAAAAAGAATTCACAGGAAGCAATCTGAAACGGAGATGTGCAATTGAGGGTGTCTTTGCCAATTGGTGAAGGCAGGATGACATTCTCAGCCTAGTGAACAGAGTGTTCACAGGCATGGAACGAGAGAGCTACAAGCGTTTTCAGAATGTGAGGAGCCTAAGTGTGTCTGTAGTAGGAGAAGATGGTTAGGCTCTCACATCAAGCTGTGTCTTCATGCTTTGCACTGAAGAACAGGTTTTATTCTACATAAAATCAAAACCCTTGAAAGATTCTGAGCAGGTGCAAGATATATTCAAGCGTGTTTCAGAAGACTTACTCTGACAGCAGCATGGGGTAATTTTAAAGAACTGCTTTCAAAACTTCGGACGCTGCCAGCCAGTGGGGTCTTGCCCCCTTCTGCCCTGAGCTGCAGATTTTTACCTCTGACTAGTGAAAGTGAACTGCCTGATGAGGATGATTTGAAAGTGGTCTAGAAGCTTTAGAACAGAACTTGATGTAACCCTAGACACTTAGGCATGAATGAGGGACAGGGGAGGGGAAAGAAAGGCAGCAACTGAGGAGAGGATTCTCTGATCCTTGTGAGTCTGCGGGTCCACCACTGAGCATTCAAGGTGAAGGCTGCCCACTCATACAGAGCTTGCATCAGACTTCCATTCAGGGGAGGCCTCCTAAGAAAACAGACCTACTCAGCCACAGAGCAACGTCTTGCCAGCTGCTTAAATGAACCTGGGTTTTATTTTTTTGTCCATGAATGTCAAAGGACTAAAGATCACCAAACATTTGAAGAAAAGCAAAAGAAAAAAGGCAAACAAATAAAAAAACAGAAACAATTCAAACAGCAGAGTACCTAAAAGAGTGTTACAAAAAGTATCTTCAGAAAATTATGAAAAGATAAGTATCCCTAAAGTAGCTGTGAAAAAAGAAGCAAGCAGGAAACAGGAAATTTTAAATGTGATTGCCAGATTAGAATAATACAAAAAAGTGAGTAAGCAGATGAGTAGACACAGATCACAGCCAAACTGATAAAGGATAACAAAGTGAAAACTAAATAACAAAGTAAATTTTCTGGAACTTGAGCAAAAAGACAAAGACATGGAAAATAGATAAGACAGGAAACATGGGACTAATCCTGGAGGTAAACATTAATCTAATAAGAGTTCTAGAAAGAGACAAAGGAAATAAGGGGACAAAATAAATACTATGAAATAAATACAAAGAGAATTTGTATTAATACAAATAAATACAAAGAAAATTTCTTTGAGTTAAAGAGGCACAGATTTTCATATTGAAATGGCCCACCATATTCCAAGCAAGTTCATAACAGAAGTTACACAGCTCTGTGACTGCATGAGACTTAGCCACAGCATTCTGTTCATGGATCAAAGGACTTTCATCATTGATTTCACTGTTTGGGGGGATTTTGTTTTGTTTTAAGGTAGATTGGATTTATATGCAGGATACCTTTGGGGGATCTGATATGAAATAGGGCCAAAACTGGCAAACCTGGTCAACAAAATCAAAAACTATATCTTTGAAAAGATAAATAAGAAAGACATATGTGAGTGTGACCTACTTATGAAGTGCTATCGCCTCCTCCTCTTCATGTCTTAACCCTGCCTATCTTCCCAGACTTCACTCAGATACCATGTTCTCCATGAATTTTCCCTGAATCTTCCTGGTAGAAGTCTCTACCTCCTCTGATTTTCCAAAGCAGTTATCCTTGTTGCTCTTCTAGTATTTAATGTTTTCTACGTTATGCTACTTATAGGGCTTCCCTGTAGGCTCAGCAGTAGAGAATCTACCGACAATGCAAGAGATTGAGTTCAATCCCTGGGTCAGGAAGATCCCCTGGAGAAGGAAATGGCAACCCACTCCAGTGTTCTTGCCTGGAAAATCCCATGGGCCGAAGGGCCTGGTGGGCTACAATCTATAGGGTCACAAAGGAGTGGAACATGACTTAGTGACTAAGCAGCAACAACAGCTACTTATGTGCATGCTCTGTCTCTGTAATAAAATGTAAGTGCCTCAGGGACAGAGTCTCTATCCTTCTATCTCTAAAATGTCAACTACTGTGTTTTGCATTTAGTAAGTGCCTAATAAATGTTGTTGAAAGGGAAAAAAGTGATAGCTGCTCAGTCGTGTCCAACTCTTGGCAACCTCATGAACTGTAGCCCAACCAGGCTCCTCTGTCCATGGGATTCTCCAGACAAGAATACTGGAGTGGGTAGCCATTCCCTTCTCCATGGTGTCTTCTCAACCCAGGAATCAAACTCAGGTCTCCTGCATTGCAGGCAGATTCTTTACCATCTGAACCACCAGGGAAGTTGAATGAACAGCTAAATGATGAATAACAAATCCAAAAAATCAATGACGTTTATATTTGTCCTTTTTTTAGAATATTATCACTATTGACTGACATACAAAACAGTATATACTATTATACACAACATAATACATCAACTAAGGTATTTCACCTAACTCTGCAAGATGGTGGGCTAGGAAGGAAAAATCAGTAACATTACAATCAGCTGATATTGTTGTGTTCCTGTCTGTGATTAGTTTGTAAAGTGGGTTAATTTGAACTTATTGATTTAAAAAAAAAACAAAAAACTTCTAATTCTCTCTGAATTTCATTTATGCAAAGTAACTTTTCCTCCACCCACAATCTCACATAACCAAGATTTGGCCATACTCACACCCAGGGGTGTGTTATGTTTGTTCATATGTAATAACTACATTTATTATAATGTACTTAGAATATAATACATTTGACAGATCTGTGAGTGGATCTAGAGGATGTAAGTCTAAGAAATTTTAATGCTTTGTTTTTATATTTGCTGCCTTGAGAGCGATGAATTTCCCAATCATCCCATAAATTTCTATCCCAAATGGTAAGACTTTCCATATGTAGTAAATTTACCATCTTCCTTGTGGTCTCTGAAAAATAGGAAACAAAATTTTAAAAACTGAACTCTTCAGCAAGGTGGCCTCTTGGTGATTTCTCTGATCACTTCAGGGTTTCCTTTTCCTTATGTTTAAACCATCATATTTTAAGGTTCTCAGGAGGATTGTTAACATCCTTGCTTTAAAAGATCCAGAATTTCCTGAATCAAATACATTTTGAAAATGTGCTTGGGTGATTGGCTGCCAAATCTTAACCCATTTGGCCCCCAAAAATGTGATTTGAGAAAGGAAAACCAGGAAGGAAAAAAGAGAAAAAGAAAATTTCTCCAAAAGCAATGTCCTTACACTTTTCTTGGTTTGTTCAGAAACCATCTTAAATGCTATTTTCACTGCATAACATTTCATCATATTTTTGCCAGCAGTTGGTCTGTGAGAGCCTAAATGCTCATTCCTGCAATGCCTCTCACGTAATCAAATGTCACCCTTGTGCATTGCAAATCATTTCACAATGGATTATTAACGCCAAGACCATGTGCTGGGACATGGAGAAATCATTATGCCAGCAGTAGCCTTCTTACTGAGCCGTGGACGTCACCTCCAATGGTGCCAAGTAATTGAAAATACTTGAAGTGGAGTATGGGACTGGATTGCAGGATTAATCCTTCTGGTTCATGAAAGCTCTAAGAGATTATGCCCATTCATTCTTTAGAAAAGCGGTATTCAGACTGAGCTTAGTCTTCTGATTAATCAAAGGAAAGCAGTCAAAAGGCTCTGGTGGACA